TGACTCAGCCCTTCATCACGTTAAAAAGGGAAAACAAGAAAAACAAAACTTGGAGCTTCTACTTCTAGGGTTATGGCTTGTAATATTCTCCCACCATAAAGTTTAGGTGCTACAGTACAAGCAAACTACTAAATGCATAGGTAAAGTTGGAAAAAAATGGGAAATCCCCAAGGACCAAGCTAAACAAAAAAATTAAATTAGGAGCTAAAACCATACCACTCAACAAATACAGAAGCTGGATGTCAGGAACCTAGACTCTTGGGTGCAGGAGGAGACAAGGCTGTGAGTGACACGAGGGTGGGGCAGGTGGACCGAAGACCCCCGGCTAAAGCCCCCCAGGCCCTGTCGCACTGGGACAGCCATTCTGGCTGGAATTTGGCCTCAGTCTTTTCTGATGGGTCACAGTCTTCCTACTGATTGGTCAGCGCTCATAACTGTGGTTAGAGATTTTGAGTCTCCTTGAATAAAGGGCCGGGAGGGGCAAGACGCTAGGGCGGAAAATCCCCCTGCCAGAGAGCTGACACGGAAACAGGATGTGTCCAGAGTCCAGGTGAGGGGAAAGGGCTGTGCTGGGCAACGGAAGCTTGCCCTCGCGTGGGTCTGGGCGTCCAGTTTATATTCCATGCGCACGTGTGGGCAGTCCAATCTAAGAAATCAGACTGCAGTGGTCTCGGTTCTGTAGTTTCCTGGCATCTGGTAACAGTCAAGGAAATGCCCTCTGGAAGCAAGTCTTGAACGCACAGCCCTCAGGACTCTACTGTTCAATCGGGGGTCCGTTGTGAAGGGCCTTCCACCCCTCCGCACCCCCAACCACCCCCTGGAGGGCACCATGGTGGCCCTGGAGCTGTGCACACAAACGCTTTTAACAATTTTCAAAAATAAATCCATTGAAACATCTGGAAGATATGTGATGAAAGGTTATGTTCTTAAAACAACCTCACATGAACAGAAAAATCAACAGCTCAACAGAAAAATGGCTAAAGGCTACATGGAGACAGTTCATGGAAAGGAATGGCTGTGAGCACTTAAGATGTTCAGTCTCACTAATAATTTTTTTTTTTTTAAAGATTGGCACGTGGGCAAACAACTGCTGCCAATCTTTTTTTTTCCTGCTTTATCTCCCCAAACCCCCCCTGTACACAGTTGTATATCTTAGTTGCAGGTCCTTCTAGTTGTGGGATGTGGGATACCGCCTCAACGTGGACTGACGGGCAGTGCCGTGTCCATGCCCAGCATCCGAACCCTGGGCCGCCTCAGCGGAGCACGCGAACTTAACCACTTGGCCACGGAGCCGGCCCCTCACTAATAATTTTTAAACTTGCAAAATAAAATATGGATATTCTTGCATTAAACTCGTAAAGACATTTACTTTATAAGACTCATGGGGTGAGGGACTAGTCCATGGATGTATCTTCACATGCTGTGTGGGGAGAAGTGTGATTTGTATGCCCTTTCTAGACAGCAATTGGTCGTTTGTTCCAGATCGTTAAAATGTTCTTACAATCTAAGCCAGTGAATTCACTGTTAGGAAATTGTCTTAAGAAAATCCCGTATGTGCTTAACATTTGACATACAAGGATTTTCACTGCAGTACTATTTATAGATACACACATATGCATATGCACATACATACACACACATAATTTTTTCTGAAGCACTTGAGGGTAAGTTACACACATCATGGTCCTTTACTTCTAACACTTGAGTGTGGATTTCATAAGAATCGGAATATGATCAGAGTACAGATATGAAGTTCGTGAATTTGCTTTAATACTTTATCTGATCAACCGTACATATTCCAATGTTGTCAGCTGACCAAATATCCTCTATAGATTTCCTTCTCCTTCCAGCACAGGAGCCAGTCTAACGTTAAGGGTTGCATTTAGTTGTCATGTCTCCTTCACCTTTATTGTCGTTCATGACTGATATTTTTGAAAAATACAACACTCCCCCCCACTTTTTTGTATACAGTGATCCTCACTTTGTGTTTTTCTCATGGTTCCTCGTGATTCAAATGGGGTTATGCATTCTTGGCCAATAAATGACATAGGTGATGTATGCTGCTCAGGCTGTCACCTCTAGAAGCACACCATGTCCATCTGGCCCTCAGAGGTGATGTTAATTTTGATCACCTGGTCAAGGTGTTGCCTGATTTCCCTAATATGTAATTACTGGAATTTTTTTTTTTCCTCTCCTGCAGCTAATAAGTAGCCTGTAAGGAGACACTGTAAGACCATGTATAAATGCTGTTCTTCATTAGAATTTTCCCTAGAGGTAGCATCCATTGGTGGTTCTTGCCTGATCCAGTCTTTACCATAATGATTGCAACTGTTGATCTCCCACTCCAGTCCTCTCTTCTCTCTGTCTCTCTAACTATCATTGGTATGAATCCATGAATCTCTATTTTTTCAATAACATAATTGCATTATTATGCTTAATTATTTTAATGCTCAAATTGTTCAGAGTTGCCCAGTGGGGACATCTTCAAGCTGGTTTCTACTTCCTTATGACCTAGGTTGCTAGGCGTGTTTGTTGCTATTTCAGTGTCTTTGCAGCAAACAAAGTTATATGTATACACGTACCTAGAAATATAGATACATATATACATTATATGCACATAAACATGAACATATACATACAGATACATATTTTAGAAGTTATGGGTTCATATTGATGCCTCTAACTTCCATCCGTCCCCAAGGGCTTCTCTCTTGTCTCTCCCATTCCATAGCTCTGTGTCCCGTTTTTCACAATGAGAACCCCACGTCCAAACCACATCAACACATTTACTCACTTGTTCAATCTGGAATTCATCTAAAATAATTTGAGAATTGCTTTACCCATGCTACAACAATTCATAAAATTACTTAAAAAATTTCAAGATTTGTTTGTACTTCTTCCCCAATCACATCCTGTCATATCCCAGACTGAGTTTACATAGTCAAAACCATGCCATAATCTACTTAGATTAGTTCTTTCCTTTCCCCCATCAGTGTGCTTATTGTAGTCATTCAAAATGCAAGCAATCTGTTTAAAAAAAAAAATGCAAACAAGATTTATCTGGTTCCAGATGGGTTTTTTTAATCAATAAAATTTAATTTTTTAAATATGTAAAATATTAACATGTTTTCAAAAGTCAAAACTATACAAAAATTATACTCAGAGAAATGTCACTCCTTCTTGTGTTCCTTCCACCCCATCCCTTGTAGAAAACAACTTCATTGTCTTTTGGTTTACCCTTCCTGTGTTTCTTCTTTCAATGATAAGCAGGTGTATGCAAGTTTTCTTACTTTCCCTTCTTTCTTACAAAAAAGGTAGTATACTATATATGCTTCTTTGCACTTTGCTGTTTTCATTTACTATCTCTTGGAAATTACTCCATATCAGTTAATAGAGAGTTCCTTATTTGTTTGTAGAGCTGCATAGAGCCCCAATGGGTGTATATATACCATAGTACATTCATGTACATTTAGATAGTTCCCAGTTTTTGCAGATACAAATAACCCTGCAGTGAATAACCTTGTCATATGTATTTTCAGGTTGTTGGGGGTGTGTATTCTGGATAAATTCCAGTGTGATTGTGATTGTGTGATTGCTGGGTTGGAGGGCAAATGCATATATTAAATTCCCCTCCTCCGGGTTGGGCCATTTTGCATTCCCACCTCACTCCCCATGGCCTGGCCAACACAGTGCACTGTCAGGCCTCTGCATTCCTGCCAATCTGATGGGTGAGAAATGTTATCACAGTGTTGTCTTAAGCTGCATTTACCTTGTAAGTAAAGTTGAACATCTTTTCATTTGTTTAGGGGCCATTCTCACTGTCTCTTTTCAAAATTGTCTGTTCAGGTCTTTTGCCCATTTTTCTATAGGATTTTTCATTCTTCATTACCTCAATTTTTAGAGCTCTTTATATATTTGGTATGCTAGCTCTTTAGCTGTGATATGTGTTGTGAATATTTTCTCCCAGTTTGACATTTGCTTTTTTTGGCCAGGGACAAGTGTTTTTATTTTATTGTCATGTAGTCAAATGTATTGATCTTTTCTTTTATTGCCTCTGGATTTTACTGCATAGTTTAAAAAATCCCCTTAGCAGACGTCTCCCAAGCAATTTGGTCGTCATCATCAGCTTGCATCCCCTGCTTTTCGGCACAAAAGCCCTGGTCAGCTCAATCCAGACCACCTAACTTCTCAAACACCCACTTGGAGATTCAGCTCGCTCTGCCTATTTTGGGCATCTTGCTTCTCATCATTCATAAAAGACCAGGTCTTTTAAGGAGGAGGAGGTATGAGGTGTCTAGGGGGATGAGAGCAATCCTCAGAATGAGGGACCACATCACTTAGGTCTTATTTAGGGAGTACATGATCCCATGGAACAAGCATCAAATCAGCCTTCTGACATGAGACCTGCTCCTCCCACCATCCCTTCCACACCTGGCAGGCCCTGGACAAGGTGGTGTGAGGCAAAGCTCTGTGACCTTTGGTACCCTCCCACCTCCCGCTTCCTCCTCTCTGCACCCCCCACCTGGGCCGGATGCAGAGTCTTGGTGGGGACTGTGCTGTTGTGCTGGGGCCAGATTCACCCTCGTCCCTGGAAAAGGCAATTCTGCTTCGGTTACCATGTGTCAGGGCATGGAAGGACTCTGAGCCGATCAAGCAACCAGCTCTTATTTCTTCTTGGTCCACCCCAAGGAGTTTGAGCAAGGTGCAGATAGAGTAGGCAACTGAGCTGGCCTGTGTGTCTTTACCAGCTTGTTGGAGATCCTGCAGTCTCCCTACCCAGAGGTGTTAGGACATCCCAGTTCCTCAGCCCCTTGATTCTTACCTCTGTCCCCCTTTCTCTGCTTACCATCAGGTCACCTGGAGCTCAAGTGGGCTGACTTGTACCCAGGGGCAGGGGTGGGCACAGGGTGTGGGGACTGTAAATGAATCGGGCAGCTGGAGAGGGGTGGGTGTGACTCAGGGTCCCAGCCCTGGGACTGATGGCACTGGCTCCATCACAGTGAGGTCGGCCGCTGGCGACGGAGATGCATTGTGTGTTACAGAAGAGGAGCTGGCTGCTGACGACGAGGACATGCCAACCTTCCCGTGCACACAGGAGGGTAAGGGCTCTGGCGGCTGCCTTCTGATCTCCTTACCCCCATTCCCAGGCTGGTGACTTGTTTTCTCTCTCCATGGCTTCAAAACCCTGGCTGTCCTTTCCCTACTGCTTCCTGGAGGGTGAAAGGGCAGAGTGGCCTGGGTTATGCAGTACAGATGAAGTCAAAGTTTGACACAAGTGACATCTGTGTCCAGGGCTCCTCCTGAGACCTGTCAGGGACCTCTGCCATCTCCCTGGGGGCCTGTCTTCTAGCTGCCCCAGAACTACCTCCTTCCTTGTATCCCATACCAGCCAAGTAGCCCATCCTTCTCAGGCCTACAGGACCCATCTTGGCATGGTTAATCTGAGAAACCCATGCCACCTGAACTGTTAGAGTAGGGCTTCTCAGTGAGTTTCATAGATTAGAGCAGCTGTTCTCAACCTGGGCTGTGCATTGTAATCACCCAAGGATGCCTGAGCCCAGCCCTCAGAAATTCTGATTTCTTTTGGTCTGGAGTGTGAACAGGGCATCAGGATTTTTAAACATTCCTGGTACTCATAATGTGCAGCTGAAGGTAAATTCGCCTTAGAAATTTCATATTTCTGGGACTATCACTGCATTCCCTCTGGGCATTGGCCACCTGCCAGAATAGCCAAGAACACTGGGCTCCCTCCTTCCCGCATACCAGGGGCCCAGCTGGTGGACTGGCACCATTCTTTTGGTTTCCAGGAGAACTGCTGGTTACCTGAAACCTTGTGAGATGGGTGATAACCATCTGGGTTGCCTGGGACTCAGGGGTTTCCCAGGGTGTATGACTTCCAGTTTTAATACTGAGACAGTCTTGGCCAACCATCCTGGTTTGCCCCACCCTGAGGAGTTCCCATAACATGAGACTTTCAGTCTAAAACCCAGAAAGCCCTAGGCAAACCTGGATGAGTTGGTCACCCAGTGGTGTAACAGGGCTGGCTGCCCCATGTCATGGATCATCAGTAAGCCCAGTGTATCAGAGAGTGTTTGCCCACACCGTGGGCTGAGTGATGATGCCATAGAGAGAGAGTGATGGGAGTGGTGGGGGTGTTCTTTGAGACCCTGACTCTGGTCTCTTCACTTCCTAAAAGCTCTAGGACCTAGAGAAAAGGCAGTGGGATGGGTAGAGATGGATGGAGAACAACTCCCTTTCTGAGGCTGGTTTGAAATGTAATGAGACAGGTCGGAGCAAGAGCATGAACCTGATCCTTCAGCTGCAGCCTCAGCCACTGGCCTAAGCCACTGCTCTCCTTCTGTCCCCCACAGGCCGGCCGGGGCCCCGCTGCAGCCGCTGCCAGAGGAACCTGTCTCTGCACACGTCCGTGCGGATCCTTTACCTCTTCCTGGCCCTGCTCCTGGTGGCCGTGGCCGTGCTGGCCTCTCTGGGTGAGTGCAGCTCCCAGCAGCCTCCAGCTAGTCCAGGGCTCCCCTATCGCGGCTGCAGGGCAGCTTCTGATCAGGGGTTGGCACCAAAACGCTCTACAAATGCAGATCTCTGTGGCTCAGGGCCCAGGACAGCATCTTACTGACCAGGGAATCTAATACCTGATTCAAACTGCGAAGACCGGCTCCTAATTTCTGGTCAATAGTTAGCTGTGTGGCCTTGAGCAAGGCGCTTCCCCTCTCAGGACCTCTGTTTTCCTATTGGTGAAATGAGAGGATAGGACCAGATCAGTGGTTCTCAGTTTCAGCTCCGTGTTAGAATCAACTGGGAGCTTTAAAAAATACTGATGCCACGGCCCCACCCCAGATAATGAATTAATTCAGTATTTTTAAGCTCTCCAGATGATTCTGTTGTATATCCAGGTTGAGATCACTGGGTCGGGCCACTTCTAAGCCCCTTCCATGGTCTTCGTGAGTGTTTCTCAAAGTGAGTTTAGATGCCAGCCTGCATCAAGATCACCCCCGGGATTTGTTATGATGCAAATTCCTGGGTCTCCCCCAGACCTACTCAACCAGAGTCCTGCAGGGGAGTGCTGCAGGGGAGTCCTGCAGGGGATCTCAAGTTGGTGGGTTGCGAACACATCATGGTTTGCATGACTATGGTGGCTGACCCAGGTGAGGGCGCACAGCCGGATTCAGGTAACTTCTGCCTTCTGGGTGCTGACAGTTTATGGTCAACTGATGAAAACAAATTTGATGGCTTCTCACTGCAATCCCCTTCCACTCCTAGCTTCAGATTTTGAAAATTCAGACTTCTTTACTAAGGGAAGCGAGCAGGTTTGTTTGTTCCATGGACTAGAAATTAGAGACAAGGCCGGGACTAGGGCGAGACAAGCAGGTATGCATGGTGCCTCATGCCAGGTGCCGACCCTGCACTCGAACTACTTGACCCGAGAGTGTGCACTTCCCTAAGGGAGGCGGGGCGGGTAACGGGGTGCCCTGGTCCAGGCCCTGGTTAGAGATATTCAGTAACTGGCTTCCTTGGCTTGAAGGCAAGAGGCCAGCATATTAAATTTGAATAGACGCTCTAATCAACTTCCAGTAATCCCGAAGGCATTAATTAATCCAACACGAACCAAGCACCTACTGTGTGCCAGGTATTGGGAACAGAGATGAGTCTGTTAATTCACCATCACAGGGAGCAGTTCTCAGTCTCGTCTGCACATTGGAATCCCTTGGAGAGCATTTAAAAATACCACTCCAGATGAGTGAAATCAAATCACTGGGTGGGACCCAGGCCTTAACTGGCTATGAAACCTCCTCAGGTGACTCCAATGTTCAGCCAGGTTTGAGGACCACCGACTTCAAGAACCTTCCACGCCCCTCACCCCCGTTCAGCTCCACCTCTCCGGGCTAAATCAATTCCCAGGGCTTGGCCTCTCAGAAAGTGGCCCAAATCCTGAGCCAGAGGAGGGGAGGAGCTGCGGCCCCACCACGGGGCGGCTGCAAACTGGCCCCTGGAGAACTTCCAAAGGTTCCTGGTCAGCCCTTTCAGGGCCACACTTCCAGCACCCATGGGACCATTAATAAAGCCCCAGGAGCCACAAACGTGAGCCCAGAGAAGAGCGTAGGTACCGAAACCCCTCAGAGGGTATGGACAGTTGTCCCACCAAGCGCAGGCACCGTCATACATGATATCCACAAATCGTCTCAGCAAGCCCCAAAATGGCAGGCTGGCCCCGTTCCACCCACGAGAAAGGTGCAGTGACTTGCCCCAACATCCAGAGTGAATGGGCAGAGGATCATAAGAATTAGGGGTGAGGAGTGTGTTTGGGAAATCGAGGGAGAACGTCAGGGTTTTCTTTTTTGTTTTCACCACCAGCCCGAGTATCTCAAGTCCCTGGCACAGTGCTGGCACCATCCAAGCCTGGTTGGTAGCTGCTAAGTAATGCTTGTTGAATGCATGACTAGAGATGTGTAAGCTAGTCTTTACAATAAGGACTGTGGCCAAAGTCCAGAGGGCTGGGCAAAGTCAGTCTTCCTCTCAACAGACAAGGAAAACCCACTGCATTCATTTACTCGAGTGGTATTTTTCATGCATGCTATAGGCCAAGACTGTACTAGACACTGGGCATAAACTGCCTAATAAACCAGAGGCCTTGTCTTTGTGGAGCCTGTAACTAGAGCAGGGTTTGCAAACTTTTTCTGTCAAGGGCTAGATAGTAAATATTTTAGGATTTGTGGGGCACATATGGTCTTTGTCACAACCAAATTCTGCCATTGTAGAGCCAAAGCAGCCAGAGATGATGTGTAAATTAATGGGGTGTGTGTGTTCCAATGAAACAGACACTGGGCCAGATTTAGCCTGCAGACCCTCATTTGCCAACCCCTGGTCTAGAGCAGTAATCTATGAACTGTTTTGACTTCTCATCCTATTAGTAAAAAATTGATTTAAAATGCATCAAAAAATTAGGTGGATTAATGGATGGATAAAAAGATAAAATAGATGGACAGATGTAATGATAGGCTCACACCTCCAAAAATACCTATTTTATTTATAAATTGTACATGTGCACTCTTTACTATATAGTATACGTTATAAAACACAATTTTGAAAGGAGGAAAAAATAAAGTCTGAAAAGTAAGGAAAACAGCTAAACAAAAAAATTAATACATAATTACAAATTGTGAAACGCGCAATGAAAACAGGAACAGGGTGAATTATACGAGTCAGCCCTTGGCTGTTGGCTTGGAGGAGGACTTTACAGAGCATCTGAATAAGAATCAAGATCTTTCAGTCTCTCTGCATCTCTGTTCCCCCATCTATACAGGCATCTGAATTGTTGGAAGTCTCCAATGGAATAATGAATATCATTAACCATAAAGTGCTAGTCTACTGTAACAGCATATAATTGTTCCTACGATTTCTCAACACGTCACTGTTACTAATTAAGTCTTGGCAGCTCTGAGATGTACAATGTTAATTAAAGCTCAGAGATTCCAAAAAAATTTGGAGTCATAGAATTTTGGAGCTGACAAGAGCTTTAGAAGTCATCTAGCTTCATACTTTCATTTTATAGATGATTCACTTGAGCTCCAAAAAGATTAATTGACTTGCCTGAAGTCACGCAACAAATGTGAGGCAAATCTGGACTAGAAGTTGCATTACCCAACTCTTGATGGGGCCAATTCCGTCTCCCCACACTTGACCTTCATAGGATCTGTGGGAAGCATCTTATTGACTCTCCATCTGGTCCTTGCCCTCATCTCACTATCAGGCTCAGCCAGGCACCTGCTGGAGAAAGCCAGGGGTCCTGCTGCTGCCCAGATGTTCTTTGACCACCAGCCAGCACTGACCCCTCAGTAGGGGGTGGGGCTGCCTGCGCAGCGTAAACCGGTATAACCGTTTCTAGGGGGCAGTTTGGCAACATGTATCAAGGACTTCAAGGATACCCTTGCCTCAATAATTCTACTTCCAGCATTCTGTCCTAACAGAGTAACCGTATACACACAACCGTCATATACAAGATTATTTCTAGGATGAAGCGTTACTCACAAATTTACATATCAAGTTTCATTTCCAGACTCAGAGGGGAGGTTCCTTAAGTGTCCCTAACAGTAGGGAATTTTTATATGATTGCTGAATCATTTACATAGAGTATGATACACGCATTAAAAGTAATGACTTTAAAGGGATTTGGGGGCTGGCCCCGTGGCCGAGTGGTTAAGTTCGCGCGCTCCGCTGAAGGCAGCCCAGTGTTTCGTTGGTTCGAATCCTGGGCGTGGACATGGCACTGCTCATCAAACCATGCTGAGGCAGCGTCCCACATGCCACAGCTCGAAGGACCCACAATGAAGAATATACAACTGTGTACCGGGGGGCTTTGGGGAGAAAAAGGAAAAAAATAAAATCTTTTTAAAAAAAAAAAAGGGATTTAAACCTCAATGGGAAAATGTCCATGACATGATACAATAAAGCAAAATAAAATAGATGAGATTTCAGAACACCCCAGTTTTCTGTTGTTGTTGTTCTCCAAAAATGTGTGTATCTACGTAGCTATAAAATGGTTGTGGAGATAAGATTATAAGAGATACATGAAAATGTTGATAGCAGTTATCTCTCAGTGTTAGGATTAAGAATAATTTTTATTTTCCTTTTATATTTTTTTCTTAATTTTCCATATTCTATCTTGTGGTCAAGTCCTAGTTCTAAAATCTGAGAGGAGGAGAATGACATATATACATATGTAAAATTATATGTATTACACATTGTACTATCTATCCACATAGATACGTATATATACAGTTATACGTGGCTTAACAACAGGGATACATTCTGAGAAATGCGTCATTAGGTGATTTCGTCGGTGTGTGAACATCATAGAGTGCACTTACACAAACCCAGATGGGACAGCCTACTACACACCTGGGCTCTGTGCTACTAATCCTATGGGACCACCGTTGTGTACGCAGCCAGTTGATCGCAACGTCGTCATGCCGCATATGACTGTACACACATATATACACTGAGGGAGATATCTAAAGAGATACGTATCTAGCTATTCTATAGATAGAGATACATAGATACATATTTTTATGGGATATGTGACAAACTCTGGCTGTAAGAAGCATCTTCCCTTACCACCATTGGGAAGCCCCATAGAAGAAGGGTGAATGGCTTTGGTTGCAGAGGGGCTGATAAAAATGTCTTCTCAACAAACAACTCCTCTTTCTCTGAGCTAAGACCCTGTCCCAGTTTCTCACCTGTATTTCCCCTACAGTTTTCAGGAAAGTGGACTCTCTCTCAGAGGATATCTCCCTGGCCCAGGCCATTTATGACAAGAAGCTTGTGTCTATGCAGGAAAATCTCCAAGGACTGGGTAAGTGTCCAGTGTCCAAATGTGCTGATGACTATGATGGAAGATTAGTATTAATTGGGGAGAAGTGAGGGCTCCTCCCCATGCCATGGAACCCCAGAGCAGGGCAGCCTTCACCAACCTTCTAAGCACAAGGGGAGGACAGCCATGGCTCCCGGCCTCCCTGTCCAGCTAGAGAACCATCCATTCAAAGAGGGCTGTCATCCTGGGATATACTCAGGAATGGGGCCAGGGGTTCTGTGTGTGGTACAGATCCAGCCAGAGTCTATAGGTGGGCTAGACTGACGAAGACAGTCCATCCTCAAATATCCTCACGTATCTGAAATTATTTTTAAGACCTTCCAGAGCCTCTTGACAAGTCAGCCCCTTCCTCATCACTGCCTTAAAGTGTGCACAATGCATGATGCTCTTGGTCTCCTGCTTTAACTAGGGATGTTCTCATTCTGGGAATGAGACAGAAGGAGCCAAAAATAGAAGGGTTTAGGAGTGGTCTGCTCTGATGGAAAGAGTCCTATTCTGCCGCTAACTACTTGAGTGATATTTGGCAAGCCACTTCTCTGTCCCTCATTTCTTGTCAGTCACAGGGAGAGAAGTCCCGGCACCATCTACCCCAAAAGTTTGTGCGAGGATCAAATAATATAACAAATATAAAAGTATTTGGAGAAATTTTAAGATAAAATGTGAGTGGGAGGTTCCTTGGCAACCTCAGAAGTTATGCAGATGTATTATTGAGAATTTGGTGGCGAGATGGAGGAAATGTCCTAAATCCTACATTTCAGGTCATAGTAAAGATATTTGGTAAAAATAAGATTTCATAGAATGGCAAGGCTTTTTCAGAAAGGATTTCTTAGCAGGATTTAGGAAAGCAAGAGTGATTGAGAAGCCACTTGCCAATTCATTATGCTCTGAAATATTTAATTTAAAGAAGCAAACTTTGTCCCATGATCCTTCAGCAACTCAAAATGTTGTCCCTTTCTCCTGAAGATTTGAAAGCCCCGAACAACTGCTCTTTTTGCCATGAGGCTGGGCAGCTGGGGCAAGAGATCAAAAGACTGCAGGAGGAGCTGGAGGGAATTCAGAAGATGCTTCTGGCTCAGGAGGTCCAACTGGATCAGACCTCTCAGACCCATGAACTGCTCTCCACCACCAGCAGTCAAATCTCCCAGGAGATGGGCAGTTGTTCCTTCTCCGTCCACCAGGTCAACCAGTCTCTGGGGCTCTTCCTAGCCCAGATGAGAGGCTGGCAGGCCACCACAGCCGGCTTGGATCTCTCTCTGAAGGACCTCACCCAGGAGTGCTACGACGTCAAGGCTGCAGTGCACCAGATCAACTTCACCGTGGGGCAGACTTCAGAGTGGATCCACGGGATCCGGCGGAAGACAGACGAGGAGACCCTGACCCTCCAGAAGATTGTCACTGACTGGCAGAACTATACCCGGCTCTTCAGCAGCTTGCGTACCACCTCGGCCAAGACCGGAGAAGTGGTCAAGAACATCCAGGCCACTCTGGGGGCCTCATCACAGCGCATCAGCCAGAATTCCGAGAGCATGCATGACCTGGTGCTGCAGGTCATGGGCTTGCAGCTGCAGCTGGATAACATCTCATCCTTCCTGGATGACCACGAGGAGAACATGCACGATCTGCAGTACCACACCCGCTATGCCCAGAACCGCACAGTGGAGAGGTTCGAGACGTTGGAAGGACGCATGGCTTCTCACGAGATCGAGATTGGCACCATCTTCACCAACATCAATGCCACTGACAACCATGTGCACAGCATGCTCAAGTACCTGGACGACGTGCGGCTCTCCTGCACACTGGGCTTCCACACCCATGCCGAGGAGCTCTACTACCTGAACAAGTCTGTCTCCCTCATGCTGGGCACCACGGACCTCCTCCGAGAGCGCTTCAGCCTGCTCAGCGCCCGACTGGACTTCAACGTGCGCAACCTCTCCATGATCGTGGAGGAGATGAAGGCTGTAGACACGCATCACGGAGAAATCCTTCGCAATGTCACCATCCTACGAGGTGAGAGCCAGATCCAGGCTGGGCTACTATGAAGCTCCCAGAGGGCCTTGGTGATCTTGCCAGACACAGAAGTCCCTGGTTTTAGGTAAAAGTCCTAGTGGGCTAATACAATCCTATAGCAAATGCCTAGGGCAAAGGGCTGCTTTAACATACTTACAAACCTCTTTTGTAAAGGTGTTATGGCTCCTAACTTTCCCTGTCATGCAAATGTGGATTTTATATATGGATCTGTTTAATTGGGTCCACATGGAGAAATAGGCTGACCTCATCTTTTGGAAACTCCATCTCCTCTTGTTTTCTCCCTTCCCGTGCCCTCATTGGTGCTCTCAACCATCCGCCTCTCAGATCCCTGTCACTCTGATGCTCTCTTCTCCTCCCATCTCACCCCTGCATTAATCAGGCTTCTCCAGAGAAACAGAGCCAATAGGAGAGAGAGACAGAATATAAGGAATTGGCTCATGTGATCATGGAGGCTGGCAAGTCCAAAATCTGCACAGCTGATGTCCTGATTCAAATCCAAAGGCTGGAAGCTGCTATAGAACGAGAAAGAGATGATGTGTCAGTTTGGAGGCTGTCAGGCAGGAGAATTCTCTTACTTGGGGGAGGGTCAGTCTTTTGTTCTGTACTAAGGGATACCCTAAGGGATCTCCTGTATTCCAGACATGCTCTTCCTGACCTCCATTGTGGAGTAGTAGCTCAATTTCTCCTTGGTAGTCAGGATCCATCACCCTAGTCAGCACAGTAACTTCTTTTGCCTGTTAATTCAGAGGCATGAGGAGCCCAAAGTAACCAGGCAGAAGTCTTAAATTCCAGTTCAGTGTAATCGTTGTATCTCCTGGCAGAAACATTCCTCCCTTTGGATCTAAGATCTCTAAGCCAGTAGAGCATAAAGTCTTGGAACATGAAGTAAAAATTTTGCTAGTAGATCACTAGGGGTAATGGTGAGTGGTGCCACTCCCATTTCCACCCCTTGATCCCTGGACCTGTGAATCCTGGCTATCAGAGAAACAGCAACACAGACCAGATGCTCATTCAGAGCATATACAGCCCTACAAGATATTTTCACCTGTTAGGTGGCACTGTAACTGAGTCTTAAAAAGCCCTTCCCATCCTTCTATCAAGCCAACTGCTTTAAGATGGTGGGGAACATGGTAAAACCCATGAATTCCATGGTCATGGGCCCACTGCTGCATGTCATGTGCTGTGAAGTGAGTTCCTTGATCAGAAGCAATGCTATATGGAACACTATGATGGTGGATAATGCATTCTATAAGTACATGGATGGTATTTTTGGCAGAAGCATTGGGTGCAGGGAAGGCCAATCTGTAGCTGGAGTAAGTGTCTATTCCAGTAAGAACTAAACCCCGCCCCTTCCCTGATGGAAGCAGTCCACTGTAATCAACCTGCCACCAGGCAGCTGACTGATCACCCCAGAGAGTGGTGCCACATCAGGGGCTCAGTGCTGGTCTCTGCTGCTGGCAGATTGGGCACTCAGCAGTGGCTGTAGCCCAGTCAGCCTCGGTGAATGGAAGTGCATGTTGCTGACCCCTACGTAACCGCCCTCCCTGCCACCAGGGCCACTTTGTTCATAAGCCTATAGGGTGAAGACAGGGTTGGCTGGGGAAAGGGGCCAACTGGAACCCACAGAACAGGTCATCCTATCCACTTGATTATTAAAATCCTTCTCTGCTAAGGTCACCATTTGGTGAGTATTCACATAGGACACAAGTACGTTCAGGTATTTTGCCCATTCAGAGAGGACTATTCACATACCTCTTGTTCAAATTTCCTTGTAACCAATTTTCCAATCATGTTCCTTCCAGTCCCTGATCATCCAGTCAAACCATCGGCCACAGCCCATGAACTGGTACATAATCACACATCTGAGCATTTCTCCCTACAGAAGCCAACACAACAGCCAGGTGCACTGCCAGAAGTGCTGGCCACGGGGAGGATTTCCCATCCCACTGGCCTCAGGGATGTCCCAGAAAGGGCTGTAGTGCTGCAGCCGTCCACTTTCAGGTGAGGCCTGCCTCTCATGCAGGACTATCTGTAAACCAGGCCTGAGTCTTCTCTTCCTCTGTCAACTGATCCTAGGGAACTCCCCAGGAGGCTGCAGGGGCAGGCTGGGAGAGAGAAGGCAGTATATCAGGAGTGGGGACCATGGACATTTGGGCCACTTCTTCATGTAACTTACTTGTGCCTTCAGGGCCTGCTCAGGCCCAGTCGTCTGTATACCATTTCCGTTTGATGATGGAATGCAGCTCTGCACACCCAACTTTATGGCATAGTGGGTCAGATAACACCCTGTTCGTGGTTGGCACCTCAGGCCGCATGCTTACTTGGTGGCCCATAGCTAAGCATTCACTCTCTACTAAGGCCCAATAGCAGGCCAAGAGCCATTTCTCAAAAGGAGAGTAGTTATCCACAGAGGATGGCAGAGCTTTGCTCCAAAATCCTAAGGACCTGCACTGCAGTTCACTGATAGGGGACTGCCAGGGCCTCCACACGGTGCCCCTATCTGCCACTGACACATCAAGCACCATTGGATCTGCTGGGTCATATGGCACAATGGCAGAGCGGCTTGCACAGCAGCCTGGACCTGTTACAGAGCCATCTCTTGTTCTGCGCCCACTCAAAGCCAGCAGCATTTCAGGTCACTTGGTAAATGGGCTGGAGTAACACACTCAGTTGAGAAATATGTCGCCTCCACAATCCAAAGAGCCTCACTAGGTGTGGTGCCTCTTCTCTGATTGTAGGAAGGGCCAAATGGAACAGCTTCTCCCTCACCTTAGGAGGGATATCTCAACATCACAGGACCCCTAGAAATTTCACTGAGGTAGAAGGCCCCCAAATTTTTGTCAGACTTATCTTTTCATCCTCTGACACACAAATGTCTTACAAATAGTTAGAGCTACTACAAACAGTGAGCTACTGCTTACTTGCTCATTAGGTCCAATTAGCATAATGTCATCAGTGTAATAGACCAGTGTGGTATCTTGTGGAAGACAAAGGAGATCAAGTTCCCTGTGAACTAAATTATGAACAGAGCTGGAGAGTTGATATTCCTCTGAGGTAGGACAGTGAAGTGTGTATTGCTCGCCTTGCCAGCTGAAAGCAGACTGCTTCTGCTGGGCCCTCATGGGCAGGAATGGACAAAAACACATTTGCCAAATTAACAGTTGTGTATCAAGGGATGTATTAATTTTTTGAAGCAATGAAACTATATCTGGTACAGCAGCTGCAACTGGAGTTACCACCTAGCTAAGCTCATGATAATCTACTGTCATTCTCCAAGATCCACCTGTCTTCTGCACAGGCCAGATAGGCAGATTGAATGGAGATGTGGTGGAAATCATCACCTTGCATCCTTCAAGTCCTTGATGGTGGCACTAATCTCGGTGGTCCCTCCAGGAATGCAGTATTGCTCTTGGTTTACTGTTTTCCTAGGTAGAGGCAGTTCTAGTGGCTTCCACTTGGTCTTTCCCACCTAATAGCCCTCGTTCTATATCTTAGGGAACTAATGTGGTGATTCTGCCAACTGCTCAGTATGTGTATTTCGATTATGCATTCCAGGACTGGGGAAATCATGACACGATATGTTTGCGGACCCACTGGACCCACTGTGGTCCACTGAGATGGACCTGAGCTAAAACTCCATTGATCGCCTGACCTCCATAAGTCCCTACTCTGATGGGTGGCCACAGTAATGTTTGCATCTCCTGGAAGCAGTGTCAATTCAGAGCCAATGTCCAGTAGTCCCCACAGTTCTGATTATTTCCTCTTCCCCAATGCATAGCCATCCTGGTGAAAGGCCATATGTCCCTCTGGGGAAGGCTGGGAAAATGATTAACAGTATAAACTTTTGGCAGTGTCCTGGGGTCCTTCCTCAAGGGGACCTGGCCTCCCCTTCATTCCAGGGGTTCTGGGTCTATAAACTGGCTCAAGTCTGAGAATTGATTGAGGGCCATAATTCTTTATATTTATGCTTCAAGTTAGAGTTTTGTTCACTTGACCTAGAACTTTTCTGCCTGTACAGAACAACTAGGAATTGAGTAGGCTTCCTACCTATTTTACTTCTAGGAACGCCACGATCAACTAGCTAACACCATGGTCTGAGCATATGAGACTGCTTTGAGTGCTGCTTTGACTCTGCTGTCCATCACAGTAACTCTTTCCTCCTCGCCTTTGGCGGCTGTGTGCCTCCACTTGGCCCCTGCCATCCCGGATCCAATTACTCTCCCTGTGGTTAGGTTTCCCAATTCAGTGACTGCAGTTCCCACTGTAAAGTCTGGCTCACAGAGAAGAGTGAGCACAGAGCTCTTTAAGGATGCCGGGCTCCCTCACAAATTGATTTCTCACAGTCGTGGTGAAAGGCGTGTCTTCTGGACCCTCCCAGGGTGGGTAAGTAGGTCTCAGATGACAAATCCACTCTGACATGCCAGTCTCAATAAGTCTTTGAATCACTTCCTTTACATTAAACCAAGGCAGTTCGGCCATTTCTAACTTGCTCACTCTGGGTCTCCTTTTGGCCCATATTTCAGCCAAGCAACCAAACCAACTGTTGGAGCCCCTCTTAACTCCCCAAGATGTGCCATTAGATGCTGGATCCCTGCTTGGTGAGCCCTTTCACCGTCATCCCACACCCTTAATATCCATTCCCACACACATTGCCCAGATTTCTACCTGCATAAATTAGAAAACTCAAATAGTTCTTTTGGAGTATAATGTACCTCCTCATGGATCACACTTTGTACCTCACCTTTAGTTATAGGTCTAGAAGCAAAAAAAGGGTCGTGGGCTGGGCCCTGAGGAGAATCAGCATTGTCTCACCTGGCAACTGCCTCGGGCAAGACCATTACCCTTTCCTTGGGCAATGCAGGGTTAATACCCTCTGCCGGGGTCGGGGGGTGGGGGGGATGGGGGTGGGGAGGGGGGGTTGAGAGGTCACTTTTACCGTGGGTGGATGGGCCGGAGAGACTGCTTGCACTGGCAAAGAC